GGGTGTGTAAGTGTTAGTCGTGTGGGGATGCCCCCTTACGGGGGCGTACGTGTCTTTTGGTGTATTTGTCTGTCTGGTATATTGTTTGTCGGGGGTCGCAATTTTAAAGAAATGTATTCTAAAGTAATGCAAATAACTGATAAATAAGTAAAAACTTACCTGGGCATTACCCCGGGACAGGTGCCTGCAACAAAGATGCCGACGGCCTCTATGCTTAGCCGGGGATTAGGTCGGTGATTACAAGGAAAGAAAGGAATTCTTTCCAGGTAGCCTTAATAAAGGCAGGTAGATTTTGCTCGTTGCAATCACTTCACCTTACAAACACGTCCGCTCAGCTCGGCTGTTCGCACTGAACTCAGAATTGAGGTTAGGACACGCTTTACCATTGGGGATAAACGACACGATATGCAAAAACTGGAAGCATTCAGTACACGCTATTTGTCAATACGGTATCCAGTCACGTGATTTTAACGTTTAACGTATTCGTAAATACCTTATGTAAAATTCTACAGATAATGTTGTCCGTAATTTAAGTTGGAATAACGTTACTGTAACAAGCGTATCGCTATACACACCATTGTCAAATGTAATAGTTATTTTATTTACAGAGAAGATATGCTTTATTAATTTTGTTAATTATTAATTAGTATATTCTATATATTCATCATATACGCTTTCTGTTTGCGACTGTAGGTGGTATATATTACATTATATATATATATATATATTGTTATGATTGTATATGTGTGTATAGTCTTGTATGTTTTATGTGTTAGCGCCAAAATTAAAATTTATGTGTATTGATATTAATTTTGTTTAGATTGGTGTATTATGTGTTGTATATCTTTGCCCTATCTAGCTTGAGACTCTATCTCTGTAGTCGGTTCCAAGTGTTAGCAAAAACCACACCAAGCACAGCTATAAAACAAAGGTTTAGTAATAAATGTATTTATTAACAAAATTTCTATATATGTCAAAACTTGTCACTCTATTTCTTAAATACACTAGTTAATATATTTTGAAGTATGTCACAATGTTTCTAAATCTTTATATAAGAAGTTATATTGATGATCTCGTCAAGTT